GTTTCATTAATGATTATTATGAATATCTATCAATCAGTAGTTGTTATAGCAACATTAAACAATAATATTAGTAGCAACAAATAGCAAATGATGATAACAAATCATTGTTTTTTGAGGATGATAATAAAGATTAAGATCCAGTTTGTGCAGGAGTGATTGAAGTAAGCATTAAGGACAAGATCTATGAACAAAATATAATAATAAACATTTTACTAATTATTCAATAGTTTGTATAGGAGTGGTTGAAGTGAGCATTAAGGGCAAGATATATGAACAAAATATAATAACAAGCATTTATTAATTATTCAATAGTTTGTGTGATCAAAGTAAGCATTAAGGAAAGATCTATGAACAAAACATACTAACAAATGTTTTATCAAATATTCAATAGTTTGTGTAAGGAAAAGATTTATGAACAAAATATACTAACGAATGTTTTATTAATTAGTATTATTGGTTGATTTTATTTAATATAAAAATTTACCATCATCTGACTTTAACTCAATTGGCTGCCATCAAAACGAATTGTCCAACAATATTCTATTTATATAAAAAAATTTTGTTTAATTTTATTATGAAAAAAAAAAGTTATCATTGGTTTAAAGTTATTCGATTTATTATTAAATTTTACCATAAAAATTTACATTGTAACTGAAATTTCTTTTTATAATTCATGTTTTCAAAAAAATATATTGATAGTTGAATTTTGTTGTCAACATTTACAATGTGTTGAAATATATGATAAAGATACTAAAAAAATCCGCACATAATAATTTGTTATATGTTTGATGATCAACACCACATATTAATATTAATTAAACAAATTTTGTCCCGATCTGCAATATGTTAATTTTCTGACGAATTGTGAACTAGAAAGCATGTCAAAACTATCGTTACAGAATGCAATCTTAACTTACGAGCAACTTGAAACCACACCTTCAAGAAAAGATGGAATTCCTGAAGATTTGGAGGATGAACTTCGTAGATTTGGTTGCGAGTTGATTCAATCAGCTGGAATTTTATTGAGATTGTATGCATAGATAAAAAATTTTGCCAAAACAAATATATATATATATAGTAACGACAATAATTTCATTTATTAATATATTATAGACCACAAGTGGCTATGGCAACTGCACAAGTTCTTTTTCAACGATTTTATTATGTTGCTTCATTAAAAAAATTTTCTATTAGGGTTGGTCATATGTATATATATATATATATATATTAAGAGAGAAATGAAGAAATATGAATTAATGGATTGCTTTAACTGTTTTTAATTGTTTAGGATATAAGTATTGGTGCATTGTTTTTAGCATCAAAAGTTCAAGAATCTCCTTGTAAAATACGTGATTTGATAAACGTGTATCATTATTTAATCAGACATTATAAGCATTTACCTCAAGATCCTTTGGAGCCTTTGGGATCTGTTAGTATTTTCAATATATTAATAATAATGATTATGATGATGATGATGATGATGATTACATTTACATAATTCATATATTAATTAATTAATTAATTAATTAGGAATATTATGAAATGAAAGATGCACTTGTAATAGCAGAGATGCAAATTTTGAAAAGACTCGGATTTAATGTCCATGTTCAATTACCATATGGTTTAATGGTAAATTATTTGAAAACTTTAGAATTGACAGAACATGAAGTTATTCCACAAAAGGCTTGGGGATATTTAAATGATGCGTAGGTTTTATTTTTTATTTTTATTTTTTCGCTTTTTTAAAAACATTTTTTACGAGTGTGTATATTTATAACTAATTATTACTAAATTTATTATGAATTAAATTACAATAATAATGATGATAATGATGATAATGATAACCACCAAAAAAAAATTTTATGTCAAGTTTACGTACAAACATTTATGTATGTTATCAACCACCTACGATTGCATGTTCAGTCATTTGGCTTGCTGCTAAAGTAAGTAAAGTAAAATTGCCCACATCGTTAAAGTGGTGGGAATTATTTGAAGCAGAATTTTCAGATATAGAAAAGATTGCGAGTCATATAACGAAATTGTATGCACTTCGATTACCTTCAAATTTACCACTTACATTAGACGAATTAGATGATTATTTAAAAAATGTACAAAATAAAAAAAATCAGGAAAAATAATAAAAACGAATTAATATATTATTTCTTTTTTTTTCTTTAATTAAAAAATTATTTTATAATTTATTCTTTCTATTCTGGAAATTATTTATTTTCTAATTGAATAAATTAATTAAATGTCTCTTGTACATTTTTTTTTGATTATATATATATACACACACATTGATTTATTGATTTATTCTTTATTAATAAATAATGATGATGATGGTGGTGGTGGTAGTTATTATTATAGTTCATCTTTAATATGATTAATAGATGTTGCAAATAAATTTTTTAATTCTATTAAAAAAATAATTAATTAATTAAATCATCTAAATTCGACCAATTAATTAATAATAACGATGATGATGATAATAATGATAGTAATTTACCTTCTTTAGTTGGATCATCAATTTTATTAGGAAATATAACAGTATATTCAACATATAAATCTCCTTTACTTGGTGATGATTTATATCTTGGCATGCCCTCATTATTTATCACTTGTGTGAATCCTGGCTGTGTTACTGCTTCACGTTTTAAATTAACTATTCTACCGTCGAGATGCGTTATATTTTTTTCAAAGCCTGTCAATGCCTATAAAATTTGAATATTTAGAATATTTAGAAAATCAAGAAAAGATGGGAGGTCTGAAAAGAAAAGAAGTGAAATTAAATGAAAAAAATTGGATCTTACATCAATCAATGAAATTGTTTCTTTTATGTGTAAATCATCTCCTTTCCTAGTAAACACTGGATCAAGTAATGTCTTGATGTTAAAAATAATATCACCTGGTATTATATCAGGTGCTTCATCTCCCTCTTTATCAAATACCTTTTAAATATAAATATTAATTAAATATATTAGATATATATGCTTGTAGGTGAAAGAACATGTATTAATAGTTTACAATCTAATAATAATAACACTTACAATTGATGAACCATCTTCTACTCCTTTTTCAATTACAAGGGTTAGTTGCTCATTTCCACGTCTAACTTTTTTCCCATCACAAACTGGACATTTAGATTTTATCATTTTACCTTTACCACCACAACTCTCGCACCTTTTAATATTAATATTATTGTTAATTATATAATCAAAATTAGCAGAATCGATTTTTTTTATCCATTTCCAAAAAAAAAAGAAAAAATTAATATATTTACGTTGTTTGAAATTGTTGAAATATTCCAGGTGCAAGCATTTGTTTAACTATTCTAACACCATGTCCACCACATGCAGTACATGACGTTACATCATTTGGGCTTTTTGCTCCACTGCCTCTACAATGATCACAAATTACTTGTTTTGACACATCTATTTCATGTGTTGTACCCAAATATATTTCTTTTAATTCTACTTCTATTTCCATTACAATACTTGGTGATTGACGCTCTGAATTTCTGGAACGACCTAATAAATAAAAGCATAAATGAATATAAATGAATATATTATGAATGATTATGAATTTGAGATTAAGAGAATAATCATAATACCAAATATTTGTGACCATATATCAAAAGGATCAAATTTTCTATCAGAAGGTTGGTGTTGCTTTAATCCTTCTTCTCCATATCGATCATAAATTGATCTCTTCTCTTCATCTGATAATGCTTCATACGCTACATACATGATCCAATCATTAAATCAATCATCAATTAATCGAACGATTGATTAAATTAACAAATCAAAAAATTAAAAACAACAAAATAAACAAATTCAATATTAAAAACCTTCTGCTAATTGAACAAATTTTTTTTCTGCCTCTTTATCACCCGGATTTTTATCAGGATGATATTTTTTTGATAATTGTCTATACTTTTTTGCAATTTCTCTTGAGGTGGCTGTACGTGAAACTCCAAGCACACTATAATAATCCGCCCCCCCACATACAAACTCAACTGAAAATAATACCAAAAGTCCTAGTAATGAAATTGCGGATATTTTCATTTCTTTGAATGGAAATAAATAATAAAATTTTAATTATTTGTTTTTAATACAAATTAATTTTATATATGTGTTGTTCAACATTCATTGGATGAAATTTTCGTGTTTAGATGCTGTGTGCGGTGTAATGCAAAATATGAATTTTGGATTTTGACAAGTTGATTGAACTTTTTATTGCCTTAAATGGAAAAATCATCTTCAACATATGAGTTGAGCTTTAGCCATTTAAAGATGTACCTTTGATGTATTCCTATTTTGCTTATTATTAACCCATATATTAGTAGCACAACAATTTAAAGTACAATGGAGAAGAAAACAAGGAAAATGATGGGACTTAATTTATTTTAAGCATTTCTTTCTAGCTGAAATTGAGTTTCCATTATATTTGAACTCTTTAATCTAAAATAAAACAATTAACATAGTTCATTCATATGAAAAGCCAATCATTCTTTCCTGTTATAATAGTGCGGATGATTCTTATAGAATATAAAATGTAAAATTTTCTTCATCAGGAGCAATATCTTCCAAACCTGGACGGATAAAGATGGTGATCTAGTAATATAATAAATGAATATTCTTTGGTAGATAAATAATCTTAAATCGCTTCTTGACACATAATTTAAAACTATTCATCTCATAGTTATACCATAAACATTTCCTGATCTGATTTTACAATAATTCAAAGCTTGAGATTATAAATATAAAAACTACTCACCTCATCAAAAAAAAAGCATTTAAGCATCAAAATAACTACTAAATTTTTCTTTTGCCTACATGATAGTAATTGTTTATTTTGAATTAATCATAAGGTGTGTCCGCCCATTCTATAACCTAAGTTGGGATGAATGACTGCATTTGATATTGTTGAATAAAATTATCAACTATACTATTTCCAGTCTACTTAGTGCCTTGTTTTTTGGAATTTTCTTTATTTCGTTCAACTGATTGCAAAAATAACTTTTTCTATTTTCTCTACCGTACCTAGAAAGCTTCGATGAATCTATAAGCACCCGAATAATTGAAAATAAATAAATACAAAGCTTAAAAAGCTTCTATAAAGTTCCTTTTTATTTCAGTTGTTTGTTTTTATCTGGCCAATTTTGGTTTACCTACAAAACAATTTAAGCAGCTTGTTTGACAGTCTTACGTTTGCGATTACAATAACACTATTAGTATTTCCAATTAACCTTTGGGTAATATTTCACTAACTGTTGCTAATACCACCGGTTTGTACTAAATACTTGCTTACTCACTAAAGCAATTAAAATGCAAATTTTTACAAAGGCTCCACAATTGTTGCCTTTTTACCAAGGTACTCTCCACTTACCAAAGCACTTTAAACGAAAAATATTTTTATTTTAAAGTTTATTAACGACGCTAAGAATTAATTTTGTTTAATAAAAATAATCATTTACTACAAGATTTTATGTTAATGGTATATTTATTTCCCTCTGCTTTTTCAAGCAAGGCCTGTGAAATTGCACCGTAATTAATTGAACTCTTTAATATCAAATCAGATTAAATTTTATATTGAGAATATTGAGAATCCGTAATTATTGTCATGATCACTTTTCTTATGACAAACAACTATAATTGCAATCCCACAACACGTATTCCGTACATAATCATAAATCAGAATCACGCAAAGATAATAACGCGAATTCTACTTAATATTTAAGCTAATGATATTTGTGCCTTTGCCATTAATTGTGAAACCATTCACGTTTCTTGACGAAGTTGACAATGCCTTTTGCATTTGTTCGTGAAACACTCAGTTAGTTGCTTAATTGCAAAATTAGTTTATTCGGATGCTTTCTTCTGGTCAGTATATTTACAACGTTTTATTTAGATGATTTGGATCCAGATGATACCCATGTGATTATTACTAAAATTTGAAGTGAAAAAATACTTTAGAATGGAGAGAATCATTTTATTGAATTGAAGAATATATTAGATGAGAATATTCCATTTACAAGATTCAACCAAATTGCTTCAATTAACTTTCATGACATTTAAAATTGCTTTGATAAAGAAGCATATGACATTTCAATGTCAACTTACTGATAAATGCCAAGACTACTCTAATTCGGACAACATCCAAGAAATATGATTTTATGATTTTGAATTGATTCTTTAAGGAATCAGGATGATTTCTAGAACAAACTACTACAAAAATAAAAAAAAGCGGACGAGCTTTGGAATAAAAAAAGACCTCCAAATATTTATAAAGTTTTATTTTTAAAATCAAATAATTAAAAATCACAATTATGAAATGGTTTCATATTAATATCGATATGGTTCCTATTCGAATAATGTTGATTCGAATCAAATGAATGATTCGGAATTAACTTGAGTATTCGAATTATATCAATATCAATATTACAAGATGACTCAGCGACAATTAATTCTAGAGCTGATCGATTTTGGATTAGTGATTGTAAAAGCAATTTTATTATTTCAAATATTATTATTTTAAACAAAATGAAAAGATGATAAAAAGATAAATGAATATATAATGAATAAATTTATAGCAGAAATTAAATTAATCATCTATTGATAATTCATCAATTTCATCAACTTCATTAATCCTTTCAATATTTTTTCCTTTACCATTTAAGAGAAGAGAGTTGATATCAAGATTATTTAATGAACTGTCATTACTTGTATAATCTTTTAAGCTTTTTGATTTAGTAATTTCATCTTCTAATATTCTACTTGTATGACACGCATCTGGATGCAATGTGTGTACTTGTTGTGAATTGCTATTACTACCACCACTGCGGCTGCTACCATTATTAAAATCAATTTCATGTTTTTTAGTTTTGGAAAATTTGAATAATCTTTTTATTAAGCTATTGTTATTATTTTTAAAAATTCCTTCTAATTTATTAACAGCAAAGTCAAAAAGCTCTTCAATATTTGGCCTTTCAGATGGATCCACATCCCAACATCTTTGCATCATATGTGCATAATCAACTGGCATTCCAGGTAATATTGGTGGTCGTAAACCTTCACATATGTCAAATATTAAATGGTGATTATGACCTCTATCATCAAATGGTGGATGGCCTGCAAATATTTCCCACATTAACATCCCAACACTATAAATATC